TGACAATTTGTGCGTAAGTAATACCTATACCAATAACCAACTACGAATCAATGCACAATAAAAACATTGATACATACCACCACATCCTTACGTCTTGCCGTCCAGGCTGTGTCCTCCGCCTCCGCTCCAAACTTCGTCACGGTGCAGCTGGCCGGGTCAGCCCCCACATCACCGCGCCAGACTCACGGGTGCGGGTCGAGGCCAGAGGTCAGGTTGAGGTAGGGGAGACCAATAGCTGACCCGTGCGCCGGTCACCCGGTCCCTGGCCCTGTTCGTTCGCTGTTTTTATATCAGTGTGTTGTCGGTTTTCCCCATATAAGGAAGTTATTGCTGGCGCTTCTTGGCCTCCTATTGGTCTAACGAATAGACCACTTGAATTTTTACCAATGAGGAGCCAAGAAGTAGCAGCATGCTCGCAGCCTGCTGATAAATAGACGGGGGGCGAACAGAGCTCCGGTGTAAGTCTGAGCCCGCTGTCCCACTCGAAGTACTCGCCCTCATCTGTAGGGAGCGCTGGGTGGGACAAAGCCGCCCACTGATGGCTACATGCAAATGCGGGCCCTCCAGACAGACTCGAGAGCGGGGGCGCGTGATAGCTGCAGGGAGGGAGTGAGAGGGGAAGGATTGAGTGCAGATGGGTCAGGGCGGGTCGCAAAAGGTGGGGTATTTAACGATCGAGCAGTAATTCCCGGTGAATTTTCCAATGAGTGGGTACAATGAATGTGACGTTAGATCGCTTGGAAACACCCTAGCGGGGAGCGTTTGGCCCTATGGATTTACATAAGTGATTTAGTGCCCGCCATAAACATTAAACAGTGCTTTAGTAGTGAATAAGAACGTGACGATTTATCACTGTCAATTAGTTAACACCTGCTAACTTGCATGTGTTTGCTTATGGAGGCAGAAACTAATCAGTACTACCGTAAACCGGGGTGAGTTGATATGGATTTTGAGGTTATTCTAGATTTCGTTAAAAGCCACATTCATTTACGGAATTCTTTTTGTGCCAGTTTCATGGCACATGCCTTGGGGAGGCAATCAGCAAAAATGAATAAAAAATGTATATATTAAGCCCCTTTTTTAAAACGCCAAAGTTCATATCAACTCACCACCCCACAGGGGGTGAGTTGATATGATTTTGGATTTTTCAAAATTTCTCGGCTAAAGAAGCTCAGAGGTGAGTTGATAAAATGCCAGTGTTTAAAAAAAAGGATGAGAGAACACATCCTGAAAGAAACCATTAGAAAAATGCTAGTAGTTTGGCAGCAGACCTCACATTCATGAAAACGCAATAATGTCCAACACAGCGCGATCAAAATGGCTTGATTTTAGCAGCATCATTTTTTCGCTTTATGATACTTAGTTTTACTTAGAACATTCTGAACTTGGCTAGTCACGTGTCCTCAAGCCAACGGTATCAAAACTGGCAATATATTTTGGAATTACAAGTGTATTTTCTTGTAATTAAAACACATTGTCAGTTGCGGGTCAAGGTTGATATGCCTCTGACAGAAATAATGGATTGAAATGAAAGAATACATATACTTCTGAGCTTTTGTTGACTGGTAGTCAACAAAATATTAATGAAGTGAAGTGAAGCGAATCTAATTCGGACTGTATTCTAAGCGACATAAAACAGAATTCGGCATCAAAAGCCAAAATTAACCCTCGCACTTATAGGCGGGCGAACGGACCACCTCGGCTTTTCGCACATAACTCGCGCAAAAAGCGGCCGATCACGACGAAACTTTCAGTACCTCTCGAGTTTATCAATTTTACACATGTTCTAAAGATTTCATGACTCTGACTCAAATGGTTTTTGACTTGTGACCTGATTCTCGAGACCATGCTTGGCCGGAATCGCGATTTGGCGTAGTCGGCTCACATTATCCGCGCATTTCCAGTCTTTTTGTGATTGTAACGTCCAAACATGTAAATGATGTTGGTCCCACGCAGTATTTTGGGTGTCAACTGTCAAGGTCACCTGAAGGTCAGGTCAGGTCATTGACCTTTGGTGACCTCGGTTCACTTTTTGGAGTTTTACATGTTTCTAGGGTAGTTTTTTTCGGGCCGATTTCGAATTTAACATGCATTTGATCATTTATGAAGTAGTTTTAGTGCCTTCGTAGCATGTTACGACACCGTCAGTGGTAGCTGACACTTGACACTCCCTATGGATAGCCGGCAGGACACCTACTGGTTGACCTGACCTGACCTGACCTGGCCTAAATGTACGAAGACATCTGTGAGCAAAACTAACATGACATTCGCGATCAGCAACAGCCAAAAAATAATAAACTCGCTTTACGAACTTCAAATAACCCCCTATTTTCCCGACTTCTGGGTAATTGACCTGGCCTGGAAGGTTAACCAATGACCAAGTTGGTTATCATCGGCTTCCTCGCGTCTCGGGCAACACGCTCATTTTTTCCGCGAAGCTCTAGCTCCACCAGGGGCCAAACGACGATGGGATTCCAACGGACCCCCCCCCCCATACGTTAAACGCTGGCAAAACACGAATACGGGCGAGGGCTAAACACCAGTCAATTTCTTTATATTGTTTGTTCCATTTCATTTTGCCTCTCATTCTCGGTTGGCAACTGCCAAGCAGGAAAACTAATCAGTTTCACGAGATCAGAATTCCCGCGCTGTTAGCCATACAGAAATGACAGTTCTGTCATTTTCGAAACTACGAATAAATATAACAGTTTTTTTTAATCTGTATGTAATATAGGTGTTCCATAGTGTTCCTTTGTAGCTTGTAGGGAGCCATCTTGAGACTTGACAGGGAGCTGTGCTGTGCCTTTTGCATGTTAGGTATGTCCACAGAAAAAAAAACTTTGGGGTTACTGATGTTAGTTATCGGACCTTCGTCCCCGTCTTGAGTTGAGATTCAGTTTCATAACGTTTCGGCCAGTTACTCTCCGGCCGTCGTCACTCGTCAGGTGTTCTTTGACCCTCAAGGACCTGGATGTTGGTGGCGTTGCGCCGTACGCGTCAAACAGTTCGAAAGCTCCTGTAGTCAGCGGGAATCGAACTCGGGTTTCCCCGGTGATGGTCCACGGTTGTAACCACTCCACTATCGAGGCAGGCTTGACTACGGCCGGAGAAGCTACTGGCTGAAACGTTGTGAAACTAACATCTCAACTCAAGACGGGGACGAAAGTCCGACAACTAACATCAGTGATACTAACAGGCCTCGTCTCAAGCATTCAGAAAAAACTAAAGCTTTTGGGGTTGATGGAATGATGTGGGGAAAGAAAAGGAGAAGAGTTGGTCTAATTGACTTTGTCTTACCTGCAGACCCATATTTCATGCTAATTTGCATGCCTACCAGCCTGGTATCAGCTTTTATATGCATGCATATCAACTCACCACCTGATGGCATATCAACTCACCACCTGTCACTTTTCTTAAAATTATAAAAAAGCGTTGTTATAGGTGAAACCCAAAACTACCTGGGATCAACAGTAAATTGATGGTAGTTTCTTTCCCAGTGCATGTTGTTTCATGAATATCCACCGTCTTTGCTGTAGGGTGGGGACTTTTCCTTAGTTTCAAAATCAGAAGAAAAAAAGGACTTTGAAAAAAGTAATGTGTTAAGAAGGCACTGCACCACATGCTTGCCTTTCTCAGCTATATGCATCACTTATTGGTTGCTTCACTTCACAGAAAAATAAAACTAAAAATTGGTTTACAAATGGATGAGCAGCACACATTTTAACATTTTTCGAGCAATTTATATCAACTCACCACCCCATATCAACTCACCCCGGTTTACGGTAATTCTTGGGGAAGTCGAACTTTCTTATTTAGGTAAATACATTTTTATTGTATGTTTCATACCGTACTGCTCTTCATAAAAATGACTTGAAAATAAAGAAACATATTTAATGCTCACAAGTTTTGATATTACGTATGTAAGTACATCACGACTGTGTATGGGAAGAACGGTAGTTATGCATCGGCACTACTTTTTCATCATTTCTGAGGATACAAATCCTGACACGCATTGAAATAAATAATACAACGTCTCCCGTCCCAGAAATGCGTCCGGCCCGCTCGCCGCTGAGCCCCGGCGATGCCTCCGACCGCGGACAGGCGTCCCGTCCGCCATGTGGCCCCTAGGGCGTGATTCGTCAGCTGGCCGCCTACCTGCCCCCCTCTCCCCCAGCTGAGCCGCCCGGGGAGGGGGGAGAGGGGGGTTTCTGCATGGGCTCGGTCGCGTCTGGCCGACCGCTCTGAACAAATGGCCTCGGCACGCTGCGAATGGAAACACTCGGCAGCAGGGTATAGCCGGCGAGATGGGTGCAAATTTTAGATCTCACTCGCTTGAATCCGCCCAATTTGAGCGTGGAGAGGCATAACTTCGTGGCAATGGAAGTTGGCTAAGCATTTAGCTCGTAAGTTGTCGGTTATTGAAGCTCGGAATATATTTGTTGGGATAAATCGTTCCATTATTAGCCAACTACGAACAAGTTCTGGTGAGTGTGAGGGAGCCGAGAGGCAGCGTGCCCTGTGAAGTTCTGAGCCACTATCCGAGCATAACTTGATTACCAAGGGCCTGCTACTCGCATGGAACATCATCTCAGCTCGGTAAGTGTATCCGAGTGCCGTCAAAGTGTTTATTCTACATCAAACAGCCGTTACATAACTTGGCTCAGCGCCTCAATCAGCGTGGAGCCGAGTCTTTGGAGTCGTAGATGGAGTCGAAATTTTGCTACGTAGTGTGGTTAACAAGCGCTCAATATTGAAGTTTTACATGAATGCGATCTATTTATAAAAAGGTGTGACTAACTGTGTTTCTGGTCACAAGTATTAACGAATCCAATGCTAATCCAATGATAGAAACAACCAGTGTTATGTGTGCAGGGTCAAGCAGACAACGCGTTTACGAGTTACTGCTTTTTCAATGCTCGTATTTCAGACAACTTCCGCGGCGTTTCATCTTTTGAATGCTCGTTTGTCACTAGCAGATTGTTTACGGTAGCAAACCCGGCTACAAATACAGATTTATTAAATTCCGTGTTATAACAGTCCTCTATCTTAGTCACTAAACATACAAAGTGCCAACACAATCAACAGCGTCTAACGTGCATTTAGGACCATTCACACTGATTCCACACGATAGGTTCAGCAGACTAGCTCGTGTATATGTTACTCCGTTCGCCGACACAGGGGCGGAGGCGGACCGGTGACCGCACCCACACACAGACGGCGGGCCACCCACAGACCCAGCCGGGCCGCGGCTGGCGACACACTCAGTACACAGCACGGCGCGGCGGCTGCGGACCTCACCACTGGGCGAGCGCGCGGGCCCGCAGATAGCACACACAACGCGCGGCGACACTATCACGGGGCGCCGCACCACACACCAACGCTCGCGGCGCGCCGGCCACGCGACGGTAGTTCGTATCAAAACGTGTGTGGCGGCGTCCGCGCGGCGCAAATCACTCAGTTCACTCGATCAAATCACATAGCCCGTCAGCCGGCGGGCCGGCCGTCCACCGTCTGCCGCGCGCACTCTCGTCCCAACGCTGAAAGACTTGACCAGGTCACTGTCTGTTAGACAGAGGAGACCTTGGGTGGCCGAGCGGGTGCACCCCGCTGAGCTGCCTCCTGGAGAGACCGCTTCTCGGCGAGCACTCGCTGGCTCTCGTGCTTGTAGTCGATTGGCCCGTAGGACTTGTAGTCCACGTCAGCATATTCCATATCGGACCATGGGCCAAGCGGCTAAAGAGCACGAAGTCGTCAGATAATTCCTCCTCGGACAGCTGCAGATAACACAGTGAAGTTGACACTTGTGCCGGGCGGGGGCGAGGGGCGCAAGCCACGGCACACATCAACACACACGCACACGCTAAGCCTGCTGACAGGACTGAAAACCTTGAGGTGCAAACGCTGGTTAGTCCCACTATCAACGTCCTGACACTGCGGTTACGTGGAATTTACGCTCTCATACCAACGGGCGCGCAACCTGGTGCAACAAGAAAAGATACTCTGTCGAAAGAGAACCGTTCACCCGACGTGGTACACGCCTTGTGTGTGTTAGCCGGACGGACACAAGCACTCGGCACGCACAGGCACAGGCACACAGACACACAAACACAGAGGCAGTCAGCGGCCGCAGCTGCGGCTCTGTCAGAGCGTTAACACGAGCAGCAGCGGCGGCAGCAGCAGCAGCAGCGACGGCAGCTGCGGCGGCGTTCTCACCGTCCCGATGAAGATGATTTGTACACTGAGCGCTCTTGGTGCCTCTGCGGAGGCCGGTTCATACATCAATCTCGTGGCTGGCGCCCGAGAACTGCAGCACCGCGTACTCGGTGGGCACGTAGTCCTTCTGGACGCGACTCGGCGCACCGCACACGTCCCGGTACTCCAGGTCGGCGTACACGGTGCCGTTCTTCACATTGTAGGTCATCGGACCTCGGGCGCCCGCGCCTCCGCCGCCGGCGGGCATCGGTACTTGTCCGGGACCCGTGTGGGGTCCGGCGGACCCTCCGTGGGGAGCCGCGGACCCTCCGTGGGGTCCCGCAGGCCCTCCGTGCTGGCTCATCTGTCCGTGCGCCGCCGGCCGGCTGCCGTGCGGTCTTGGCCTGTGCGCCGGGTTGAGGTGGCTACTGGGCCGCTGGTGGGGCGGCGCCCACGGCTCTGCCGACGGCAGCCTCTGCTGCGACTGGCTGCAGTTGTAGAAGCCGCGGTTGGCCAGCGGGTGGGGCGGGGTCTGTAAAGGCGCCGCACGGCCTCGGTTAGTGGGGAGCCACACACGACAGACGGTTAGTGACGAGCGGGGAGGGGCAGGGAGGCCTGCTCTGACCAGCGGCAGGTGGGGTAGATAGTAACGGGAGAAACTGAGTGCGCGGGCGGGCCATAGGAATAAATAAATGAGCGTCTGTTGCCGTTCTGCTTGTCACACATTTAACGTGATACGGTCGAAATTTACCGTATTTTTGTTAAGCAAGATGTGCGAATATTTTAAGATCTATGAAATACTGTCATATTCCGTATAACTAACTGGTTTTCCGAAGTCAGCCACCACCAATTTTACATACAACATGCACCGTTTACAACATATGGATCTCACAATAATTACAACCATTTCAAATGCCAGCAATCGTCGATGCAATATCTACATATAAATGCCTGAAAGATATTTGGAGCATTTTACAGACGATAGTCTGTTTTTTTTAAGCATGGTCATTGGTCGCTGTAAATATTGAGATATTTGCGTAATGCATCGTTTTGTAAGACCGGTAAGCCCTAATTAAAAAATCCAGTAGACGTTCAAAACAAATTTGAACATGAAGGTCGAATTTCAAATCAAACAGAGCAATGCTCAATGCAGAATTTAACACTGAACGTCTAACACTTCTCTCATTAGAACATTAAATGGACAGGGAGTCAAGGAAGGGAAGCGACACGATTCACATGTAGCTGAAGCGAGCGGCAGGTGCAACGTTCAGGGAGTGCTGGGGACATGCAGGCTGGGATCCTGGCTGCTAACAATGAGACTGATTTGGTCCGACAGAAGGAGGCACCTCCCCCAGCGAACAGACTCACGTGAGACGTACACAAGGCACGTCGGCACATACACGTCGCTGCATGGCTTCAAAAAGGGAGAAATGTTGTCTCGGTAAGATTTCAGATGAGTTTTCCAGGTCGGGTAGTTTTTTCTTATTCTTTTCAAACCAGCGGCTGAACGTTCTTTTTCTTTGAGTATCGTTTTATTCGACAGTTTAAAAGCGTTATGAAACGTACGTTAACTTCTTATTATGTTCAATTTACTTTGAATTATTTTCATTATAGGCCCGGGACTCAAAATTAGGTATGTCTGAAATTCAAAAATGGGATTTTAGTGGGAGCGGGAAGGTCGACCAGCAACTAAAACTAATGGGAAGGGTATAAACATAGGAAACACAAATAAACAAAATGAAAAAGCAACGGGCAGCGTGTCTAACTAGAACATAAGAAGGGTGGACAAACCTGTTCCCACATCTCGAAGGAGTCTGCCTGCGGCTCTGTCTCGGTCTGGGGCTGGCTCTGCGCGGCTCTCCGCTCCGCCTGGTTCATCTCCTGTCTCTGCCGGGCGCGGTGACCGCGGTAGGGCAGGCTCAGGTTGTGGTACGGCGGCTTGGCGGACGGGCCGCGCTGCGGCGGCACCGGACGCTCCTCGTTGTTGTTGGCCTCACTCTGCGTGGTCTTGTCGTGTGTGAGCGGCGCCTCGGGCAGGTCGGGCGACTGCGGGATGGGCAGCAGCTGGTGGCCGGCCGGCCGGTCGCCCTCGCCGCGCTGGGACCGCGTCGAGCCGTACTGGAAGCTGCGCTGCGAACGCATCGAGCCGTACTGCGGGTTGCCCTGTGAGAAGGTGCTGCCGTAGCCGGAGGAGCCGTTCTGGCTCAGTTCGCTCGGCGGCCGACTCTGGGTGCCGTCCGCGCGCGCCGGGCTGCCGTCGCCGAGCTGCGAAACCAAACAGAAGCATGCCTGCCAAGCTGAACGCAACCAAACCATGTGCACCAGGCGGCGGCCGTCCGTGGGCCGGCTAGCTAGCATACACACGTACACACGGACATACACATACGGGCGGCAGGCAGCCCGCGCACGGGCGACGGGCACGAGCCAAGCGGGGGCAGGCGGGAGGCACGCGAGCGACACGAGCCGGGCATGCGTGGCTGAGTGCGGAGGGCACGGGGGCGCGTCACTACCGAGCCCACTGCGCGGTACCGTGGCCCCGATCGTCAGTCGATATCCACACGCGTCAACCAACAGAGAATATGATATAGTCAAACCAAAATGGAACAACGGCTAGTCAGTGTGAGAGTGATTAACACGGCGATTAATCGGCCCGGCCGGCACGGAGCGCCGCGTGCCCGTTAGCTCCATGCGCTCATCTGGGTGTCAATTAAAATATATACGGAGGCGCGCGCTCAGGGCACGGCGGGGCGGCGGCGGCGGCGGCGGCGGCGCGTTAGGGGCTCACCTTGGACGGCGGCTGCTGCATGCCGTGGAACGGCAGGTTCTCATAGACGGCCCGATCGTCGGGGCCGCCGGCGCCGTTCGGTGACGACTTGTCTTTGCTCGGGTCGCCCACTGTAAGACGCCGTCCGTGCTGTCACTGTCACTACTCTGAGACGCCGGTGACCGGCGCGGACCCGGCGCGAGCACCAGACGACGCAGACGGACCACATACACAGAGAGAGACACGAACACACACGGAGAGAGAGAGAGAGAGAGAGAGAGAGAGAGAGAGAGAGAGAGAGAGAGAGAGAGAGAGAGAGAGAGAGAGAGAGAGAGAGAGAGAGAGAGAGAGAGAGAGAGAGAGGCGGCGCGCGAGCGAGCGCTAGGTGCCGAGGAGAGGAGGAGAGCCGGATGAAAAACGGTCAGGTACGAAGGCAGTGCGAGGAGCGGCAGTGGCAGGCAGAGTGCTGGAGGCTGGCTACGCTAGACACGGCTCGATACACAAAATGAGCAGACGTCGCCAGGCGCGAGGAAACGAACCAAACAGTGGCTAAACACAGCGCTCAGCGCATCTACACTAGATAGACGCCGTAGTCGCCTGCAACGAGAGCAGAGCGGGCGGCCAGTTAGCACCTGCCACCGGGGCCCGTGTGACCAGACGGGAGGTCCAGTGTAGATGAAGTACAGAGTTAGTGACAAGAAGAATATTAGTGTTACCAGACCGAAGGGAAAAGGTGACCTGAAGTGGACGATAGAAAGTGTTTAACGCATGAAGAAGTTAAACCCCATCGAATTTGAAGATTTCGTACAGATCTCCGCAACATTGTTTAAGTAATCGTTTGATCTGATAGTGAAGTGTTTCTCAATGATCATGAACATTTTACACCAATGCATAGCGAAAGAACGCTGACATGACACGAACACATATTAAGGAACGACGCATATAACTACATAGATACAGTCAGACATACGGACAAATATTCACAACAATCAGATCAATTACATCAACATGACGGATAGGTACACTTTGGCTGATGATGCAGGTTAGCATTGAACAAGCATGCTTACAATGCTAATGATCCTCACCTGTATTCAAGTTGTCCTCCTTGGAGTCGGAGTCCGTGTCAACCCTTCTAAAGGTTACAACTACAAGCAAAACAAAACGGTTAGCAAACCAAACCGCGAACAAAAATAAAAAGCCAACAAAAACAGTCTAGGATACGTAAGTGACACGAATGCCTCTAACGTAAAACAAATGATCTTCACGAGTAGGCTGTTTCATTTCTTCTATTTTCAATCAAGAAACTCGATGAAGTCAATAGTGCAAAGTGACGTTATATACTGTGCTGTTAAACGTTTATTAAAAGTTGACAAGGTGAAAATGTAATTTTCTCGTAGCTCAGTTGCCAGAAAATATAGCCGAAATGGAAAGAAGTGAGAAATAAATTGATGATAGAAATAAAAAAGAATAAGATCTTGCCGTCTCTGTAAGCACACCTTTTTCGTTTGTGGCGGGCGGCGTGGCCGGCTCGGCCGGCTGATCGCTCAGTTTGCTCAGCGACTGCACGTTAGTGACGTGCACGTGCACACCGGGTCGGATGGGCCACTTGTGCAGCGGCTGCACGCCCTGTCCGCCGGCGGTGGCGCTGGTGCCGTCCGGACTGACACACGCAGAGAGACGGACAGACGGACGGACGGAGACGGTTAGACGGCGTGCACACAGAGCGAGAAATACGGCCCGGCGGAACACGGACACACAGGCGGGCCACAAACACCCCCGTCGCTCCTCGAGAGCTTGCTTTTACAGCTATATCTAGGGAGCCAACACGGGTAATGATGAAAATCTCGAGGTAGCGATCGAGGAACGATAGGGCGGTTGGTTTAACGTCCATGCGCAAAGCTGCGGATAGGTCGCTGCTCTAATATTGACCGTACCTTTGTCATTATCGTTAAAGGTATCTGCACGGAAAGAGATAACGTTAAAGTTCAGTTGGCAATTGGTAGATGTTAACAAAATAAACAGCATAAAAAGTTTCAATGAACTAGCAAAAAACAAACAAACAAAAAGAAAATAACGTTATAATAATTATTTATTTTACACTCAGCTTTAACAATGTTCGCAAACCTTTGTCGAAGAGAAGAACGGATAGTCTTGTACCAAGTATTCAGTTAAAAATAGATATAAAGGCCCCACATAACAGGCAAGGGAACGCATATATACAGCATGCGGAGAGGCGTCTGACGTATGGGAGAAAGAAAGAATTCCCAGAAAACCATCAGGACGAACCACTGCTAAAATGAGCTCAATACGTCACGAGGCAGTGCCAGGCAGCAGCACGAGGCAAACTGAGGCGGCACGAGGCGGCGCCAGGCAGACGGATGCGAGCTGAGTCCGGTTACCTGGCTGTTTGACGATATCGGGGTTTGACGGGGGACCGGGAAGGAGCGAGGGCCGAATCAGAACACGCGCCTCGCCCCGGTAGAAGCTAGCCGAGAGAGCAGCGCGTCAGACAGACAGACAGACAGAGAGACAGACAAAGTGGGAAACTGGGCGGGCAGCAGACTACCACCGGAGGGTGGGGAGGGGTGAGCCAGTCGGGTCGCTGTGACGATTCGGGAAACATGTTGATGACCAGAAGTTGTTAACCAAAATGACAACCTGCCGTTAATTGATGGCATTTACTCTCAAAATGGAGCTCAACCATATCAAAGTTATGATAGGCAAACACAATGTCAAAAGGGGAGAATCGTATACAATTACACACTACACAGCGACCAGGCTGGCTTGTTTTTTAGTTGGGGTCTATGCAATTGTGGTTCTGTTAGTCTATCAAAGTCTCCTCCACCTGAACAGACAGCTAAAGGTCTCCAGAACTAATTGCAAAAAGGGGTCATGAAGGAAGAAGCACTACGCTCTGACAGAATTCCACAGGAGTTGACAGAGTTCCCGACTGACTACTGCTCGTCTATAGCCCGCAGCTGGTATGTGTACTCACTTTCTCTCTCCTCTAGAGGGTTCGGGACGCCGTCTAAAGCGTGGACAAACAAAAACAAAACAAAACGTTAGCCACTAATCAAAAACGACACACGGGCGCAGCCGGCAGGGAGCGAGGCAGCATTCGCGGTTAGTGATAAAACTCGGCAAGGGCGTGTAACGCATACCGGTAATGATTCGACAGCACAGTCAGTAATGGCACACTGGACAGAAAGGCAGACGAACACACAGGGTATCAAGCAAAACAGCAGCAAAACCAAACTAGCGCTTCTAGTGGGTCTCTCATTGGGTATTCGAACTCGAGGCCATATGGGATCGGTAGGTTTTTTTATCGAGGATGTGGTTATTTAGTTACATAAAATAAAAAGCACGAGGAGTTTCCATCTTAAGAAAAGTTCCGCGAAGAGAGAGTAAAGCGAACCATACTTCTTACAACTGAACGGAAAAGCAACAAATGGCTGTCAGTTTTTACTTTCCAATTACCACGAGGCAGCCAATAACTCTGAAATATTTTTGCGTTACTTTCAATATAAAAAATACCTCCGTAGAAAACAATGCCCGGCTAAAATTGCACATCGATGATTTCCAGGCCAAGATGACGACTTACAGCCGAATTTAGCCCTGAACTACCATCTTCAATTTAGCAATGAATCACGTTTTGAGACTTCTTGCGATGGAAAATAGAATCTTTCCAGGATAATTTGACAATGATATGCCACCGATGTGTCGCCAACACCGGCTCTCATGGCCGCGGTGTCGCCATCTGGAGATCTCAGAGCGATTCGGGACTGTATCCAGCGCAAGGTGACAGAAACAATAACAGGAGGACGAGAGGGAGAGAGACTAGGGACAACATCAGGAGCTGAGAACTACTCACACTTGTCCTTTGTCTTCTTCCGGCGGCACCAGAGGATGACGATGATGCAGACGACAAGCAGCAGCACCAGCGCCACGGCCACCACCACAATGATGATGATGAAGTTCATGCTGCCCAGGTGCATGCCCCAGCCGCTGACACCTGTTAAAAGGGGTGGGAAGTAGCAGAGTTAGGTGATGGCGACCTTTCAATGACATGACAGGCTGACGCGGAGGCCGTAACGGCTTTCAGCTACCTGCATAATTGAATGCGAAGAGGATTTATGTGACGGTTTGGCGGATAGTTTGAAGTGTTGACTTCTTGAATGCGCTGAAACTTTTAAAGGAGCGTGAAAGCTTGCAGTGCCTCACAATCCCTGCATTTTTGATAAAATCGATATTTTTGTTCCGGACCAACACCATTCCTTATGAATCGCGCCGAGTTTGGATTCCTTCAAAACTATAACAAAGTTCTGCCTATCTTCATTATGCGAAAACTGTCTGCTATGGAAGTCCTAACCGGCGAAGTTTTCTGAGCCGTTCTCAGTGCTCACCTTTGACATCGATTTCGCAGGGCACGCCGGCGCCGACCGTGTTGTTGACGTGGCACGAGTAGGTGCCGAAGTCACGGCTGCCCGGACGCACTATCAGCGTGCTGACGGTGCCCTCCGTGTGGATGTCGCCCTTGAGCGTCTGGTTGTTGAAGAACCAGCCGAAGGTGACGTCGTCGGGCACGGCGTCCACCTCACAGAGCAGCAGGTACTCCCCGTCCTCCTCCGTCTGACGGATCGCGCACTGGGGCTTGTCTAGAAACGAAAAACGAGATAGTAGTTATAAAAAAGCTCCTCGTTCGTCCGCAAATACAAACGTGTTTGATTTATGCCTACCATTATACTCATGTGAGCTTCTGATGCACTGAGTCACCATGTTTACGTTTGTGTAAACAAGCGAATGACGTCATCAGTAACATTTACCTTTGAGACCGAAACCTCTGATAGTTTCAAACACAGAGCTGTTACTATAACTCACTGCATGACTCACGGCAGTCAGGACTGGAGAGTGCCAGGTGAGCTACTTACACATCACATTCACGAACACCTTGGTAGAGGCTACGCCGTGCTTGTTCTGCGCCTCACACTCGTACTCCCCAGCCTTGTCCCGTTTGATACCGTCCTGGAAATTGAGCCGGAGCCGATCTCCAGTCTGAAGAGCCGCGTCATCTGAAACGAAATACCGCATCCAAATCAGCATCGGTCCAAGAGTGTGTCGCGTTATAGCCATTGCTTGAGTATCACCGCGAAGGATGGCTAAGGGAAGTATGGTTACATATACGGCCGATAGATGGCACTAGTAGTAGCGCCTGGAGTGATACTGTGCCGCATAACACGCGCAGTCAAACAGCGACCGAGGCAAGTTAGTTAGTTGAACGAGTTCTCCAGCAAGTACAATGAAGTTCTCTTTTGAACTTGAGAAAAGTGGTTTAATTAGACACGTTATTGCTTGAACTTAGCAACTACCGCGCTAAAAAAACGTCACCTTAACAACGGTCTTAGCAATACGATACGAATGGAGCTGTTAAATTCCACAATCATTTTAAGCCGTCAGAGTCTAACTACATGAGTGCAAGATAATCAAGAGAAACAATGTTTTGACATGTGCTGTGACCTTTTTTCCAGATGTAGTTGGCGTCTGGGTAGGCGTTGGCCTGGCAGACGACCTCGTCGGGAGTCTCCCCCTCCACCACGTCCACGATTGGAGAGCTGAGACTGATGTTCTCCGGCGGGTCTGTAACAATAGACAGGGTAGAATGGTGACACGGGAATAAGGCAAATATAGATCGATATGAGTGTGCAGGTTAAGACTTGCAATCGCGCCGAGTATGTTGAAAAATACTCGACAGTCATGAAATATTAATGTCGGTAAAATAAAGCATAAGCGAGTGCAGTACGGATTTCTCTGAAATTTTAAATTGAAGAAGTTCGCAACGCTATTACTACCTACTCAGGCCGTTTGCCTGAGGCTACTCACTCGTAGCCGATTCCGGAAGGTTCAACAGAAAATTCATCCATACGTTACAATCAAACTTCAATAACTCTACTACCGACTTCAATGGCGTTGTAGCGGTGATGTCACTCACACTCGACGGTGAAGAAGGTGGTGCTGCTGACACCGGGCCCCACCGGGTTGGCCGTGCTCCTGCACGTGTAGTTGGCGTTGTCCTTGACCCGGTCGAGCATCTGACCCGGCCAGGCGGACATGTTCCAGGTCAGAGTTGACACCACCGACTCGAGGTCGTTGGTGCGCGGGTCGGGGTCCAGCGTGCTCGTCTTGATCGAGTACAGCGGGCTGTCCTCCTCAATAATCTGTGAAAAGACGGCGCGGCTGTTAAAAGGAGCAGGGATGACGGCGTTGTCACATCGGTCAGGAGATGGTATGAACATCACGCAAAGCATGTTTAATGCTCCACAACGCTGGACGATTTTGAAACTCCACCTTCCATCGTTACCAAAATTGCATCCAAATTTGAGCACTGAGCAGGATAATAGAAAATATTTACTAACAAGAATGCAAGTTTGAAGCGGTTACGTCACGTAATGACATATAGCGATATTTTTAAGGTACATAATGCATCCATAGCCATCAATCAGCCCACTTCGGACGGGGCTACCACTAACCTCGTCATCCTTGAGCCACTGAAGACTGCAGAGCGGGGAGCACTCGACCCGACACGTGACCGAGATAGAGGAGGAGTTCATCAGAGCGCCCAGGTAGAGCGGCAGGCGCTCGATAAACTGGGGCTTCGCTGGAAAAAAGAATAAACAACATCAGAGGGTTTTTCGAGAACTACTTAGGGCAGGTCAGCAGCAGTGTTTATAACGTGGTTTGTTTGGAAGGTACAAGTTGTTTTCTTTGATTGTTTCGTAAACGAGGGATTTTTATCGATTCCATTTATAAATTAGATACCAAAAATGTCAATATGTGCTACCTCATACTTACGATACAAAACAAGAGTTGACATACATTCAAGCTCATCCCTTTGCCGTTCGTGCAAATCTCTATCCACCCTTTACGACTTTGTCAAAGTCCATTAACGCTGGGACAGACCGCTGAAGCCTGACACGTATGACGTTAACCTAACACCACTTCTCTCTCCCTCTCTCCTCTTCTCTGCTCTACCCATCGCCTGACAAATCTCTGGAAGCCGTGCCCTCTCTCTCTCTCCCTCTCTCTGCTGGAGCCAAGTTGCAGCCGACGGGTGAATTTGACGGCCACTGATTGGTTCATTAGTGTTCGCGGACGGATTCTAGAGAACAGACTTGTGCGCAGATTTACAGAACTAGCCTCTGGCAGGTCCGGTGAGGTTTCGTTTGAGCTGATTGATGTGGTTTCGCTTGAGGTGATGGATGTAAGTGGTATAGTTCACTGACCACTCAGGTAATTAATGGGAATCAGGGTTACCGAGTTCTCCGAACAATGGATTATGATATCCACTCGGGTAGATTAGTTACGGTTTCCGTAACCAAGGAACATGACCCTTCGTGATCATTGGGGATAAATGCCTAAGGCAAATTAATTACTACAGAGCATCCACTAAACTCATAGCATTCGAAATGAAGCAGACAGTTTCTTCGATACTCCTTTATTTTTACAGCCCCCCCCCCCTTTCTTTCTCCAGCCCCCACCTGACTTATCCTTCGCCCCTATGCTCGCGCGCCACTCACTGTAGACTTTGAGGTCGACCTTGCCCTCGAGGCTGTTGCCGGCCTCGTTGGATGCCGTGCAGCTGAACGTGGTGGCGTCCTCTAGCTTTACCGTGTTGATGCGCCACTGACTCTCCTGCACGTCCGAGATCAGGTGGTTGCCGCGCATCCACATGTACTGCGGATGGAGAACAGAGTCGGTCAGAGAACACCGCTATTGAGAGTTGTGGGAAGAAGGTGCTTCCACTTTTCTGCTTTCATGCAAGCTATTCAGTCGATTTCATTGGTAATGACAGAAATAAATGTGGCATGAAGTTTATCTTTTGATTTATTTTTAAACCTGGATATTATCGCTCGTGTAGGCCAGTATATGACAGAAGTGAAATGTATTCAACCGTACTGAGCAGCCCTCCTTAAATTAAAACGTCATTGTTCATGGCCTACCACCCAATTAGCTAGCCCATCAATTAAGTCCGGACCATCGATCAGCGACAGTAAAAAGTCCAGTGACGTATGAGCTGCCGACCAATCAGCTGGCGTCCCGTCTGACCTTATTGGCCGGAGGGTAGCCGGGGTCGTCGACCTCACAGGTGAGGGTCACTGCTGACCCCTTCAGCACGGTGGGGGGACTGTAGACGAGAGCAGTCTGCCGCGGTGGATCTGAAACACGAACGGGGTAATTTAGTTAGTGAGGGAAGCATATAGGTCAAGCTGATAGTGCTAGTGACTGGAGAGTGTAGAGTGTAGCTGACTGATACTAACTGATATTCGTGTTTCTAATCTACAAATCAGTGTGAATCTCAAATTCACGACAAAAGTTGGCGCCAATATCACCGGAAAGAGAGACTGTTATCTGAACGATTATCAACTTTGCAAACCTACCAGCCGGCTACATTCGAAAACAAACATTTCAACTCCACTGAACTCGGCTTCATAAGCGGTGTTAGCGGCAGCGATCTGCCGGGGCCAGATGAGCCACCCGCCGGATTGGCTTTCAGAGACATCTAATTTGTCCGACGGCAAACTTGGAGGCGGACACAGTTGGGTGTGTTTCATTTAGCTCGGGCGAGCGATGAGTTGCCTCAAACGGCGGGGTCGTGCCACAGCGGTCTGGACAGCCGGGTCGGCACTACATATTGCGCTACCCAGGCTCAAAACCAGACTAAGACGTGTTTGAATTTCTCCTACAGATAAACGGTAAGTTACTGCAAACAACTAACTCTAATTCTAAACACTACTCTCGATGCAGAGCAGAGCATCATAGGCATCGGTCTCACGTAAGTGATAATATAAATGGAGAAACTGATACCTTATACGACCAAACAGCGAACAGTTCAATCAGGGTGCCAGGTTTTAAACTTTGCTATAACAATCCCAGTTCAGTACATGCCCTCAGACATCATTAAAAGTTCATTATTTCCCTTCGACTTACATCGTACGACGAGCTCGCGTTCCTTGGAGCGCGGCCCCCATCCGGCGGCGTTCTTTCCCGAGCAGCTGTAGTTGGCCATGAAGGAGCGCTCCACGGAGAGCAGGACCAGTGGCGCCGGATTGGTGCCACACAGCTCCTCCAGCTGGAGAACCTCGCTCGAGTCGGGGTCGTAGTAGTCCTGAATGTCGTACGGCAGAGCTGGGAGGGCGAGAGAAGGGGTGGTTAGGTCAAAGTAAGACAGCAAAGAAATGGAGTAAATGAGAGTAAATATCAAGGAATAATGCGATGAATGCGGTAAGGTCAAACTCAATTTATACTCAGTTTCACCATCGTCACTATACCAAAGATTTGCTCCGTAAATCACAGCCACTTTAATGGTCATTCCTCATGCGGCAGACCGATAACACCATCATACAGCACCATTAGGCACCACTCCCCTCCCTCAACCAACACCCCACAGCGTCATAGTTCGCTCAGCACCACTCACTGGTGACGGTGCCGTTGATTTCGGTGGTGTTGGTGCAGTTCTCGTCGGGTACCTGCCGCAGCATGATACCGTCCAGGTACCAGCGAACGGCCAGCAGCTCGTCCGGGTTGCCGTCGGTGACGTCACAGACGAAGGTGACGTTCTCTCGGTCTCGCTCGAGCACCATGGCCGGCTCCATAGTGATCACAGTGTCTGGCGGGACTGTAAAGATGGGGGGGGGGGGGATTCAGATGGGGATCATGGCCGTCTCCATAGTGATCGCCGTGTTTGGCGGGACTGTAGAAAGAGGGGAAGAGGGAGGGAGGCAGGTGAGATAACTATCTACGACAGCTGGGAGAGACTTGCGGAGACAATGTTATGAACCGTCAGATACAGTCTTCTTCTGTATAGTTGTGTAGTAGTCAGTGGAATATACCAGCAGAGTGCCGACAACCATTTTCATAACGTGTGGTGGAAAACTTTGCCACATCTATTTGAGGCACTCGGCTGCATTGTATTGCGCATTCCTTCAAAGGCATGCGAACGCAGAAGCTGATGCAATTATGCAATGTCAGATATACAGCAATAAATTTACCGAGGTTGTTTTGTAAACCAGCATCCGGCCGCTTTTGGCAGCGTTTCGCGAGGGTCGGGCTGTGGCATTCTCCGCGCCATATCCTCCCTGGAGTGCGTCGCCAAGTGAAATTGGCAATAAACGATGTTTTCATTCGAAGGGAATCGTCCGGATGAAAATGATGGTAACAAAATAAAGGATAACGGGATGCTAAAACCACTGCAACCAAACAGGGCCTTCGAGGCAGCTTCAAACTATGAAAGTGGGATGTTGTAACTTGTAAACTGATATTGATGCCTTAAACAAAAACAAACGGAAACGTAAATTAGATATGGGAATGAGAGCTCGACACTGTGTCAGATAAAGTCAGATAAATTTAGTCAGTGGGTTTGGTTTTGTACCAATATCGAAACTCGATAAAAATTAAAATTACAACCGTTTACTGTTTTTACAGGCTAGACTAAATACAAACTGTGCTGAACCACATCGCATTGCTATATAGTTATTCTTTTGACGTATTTTTTTTCTATATTTTTAACGACTTTCATTGCTCTCGTAAATGCCGTCTAATGCTGGGTTTTCTGCCCCTCCAGTGTGTGTTATCGGCCTTGGCAGCGAATCTGTGCACTTCGCTGCCACTTTGACACTTGTGACAACGGTTGACGCGAGGCGGATATTGAGTTTAGGGTGCACTTTGGCGCTCTGTTCTCCATTATAAAATGATGTGTACGACGTAGGCAAACGGTAAACAAGGTTGACGGAGGCGTATAAAATCAGCCTGGTGTCAGGCAGCAGCAAAACAGGGTACTTGTTGAGGCGAGCGCGGCTTTGGGAGAGACCACGACGCATAAAAACTGCGCTGAAACTTTGAGCCTGACTTTGGGCACGACTAAGGAGTTGTTGCTAAAAGAATCCTCCACAATCCACATCCTCATCATTGTTTCGTGTACAGGGTTGGGCAGATAAATTGGGACAAAATACCTATTTGCACTTAGAACGCCGAAGCTTAGAAATTTGTAAACATAGGCATTTCAAATTTGGATCACATATTGTCACACCAATTTTACACATTTTCACCAAATATGGTCACCGTTGTCCACCTGCATCAGTCCTTATCGGTGCCTGGACTGGCCGCACGCGCGGCGAGATCTTCCGTCTGAAATGGCTCGTAATTGTAGCCAACTGGCACTGCTGAGGCTCACCACAGTCACATGGGGACGTTCGTTAGACTCACGCGCAAAAACGCCCAAGCAACCAGAACTTGTGTGGGCTGAGGTTTACTGGGGAAGGGGGCATTTTCCCTTGGGTACAGTTTGCGGGATCCTCCGTTTCAGGAGATTTTGTATTTAATTTACTGTATGCCGGGGAGCTGACTCTTCGAAGAGCATCACTCCATGCAGGATGTTGCCTTCTTTCATCTTGTTGATTCGAACTGCCGGAATAATGGTTAGGTACCCTGTAATGGCGAACCCCCTCCCGATTCCGTAAAATAAGGGGCCCCACGTGACCGTCAGAAGTCACCGGGTGGAATGCCATCACCGATGTCTGCTGCATGCTTTTTGGAACTAAGATCACGTCTTCTGGGCTGGTTGCGATGTTACATGGTGTTTGCGATTGTTCATATGTTCGGTTATGGGGATACCATCGTCGAAAAAGACCTGCACGTGCTTGCTCGCTTCTCCAAGCCCTTCAAGAGGAAACAATCTTTTTAACGTCACAGCTGCTTCAACATCTATGTTGACAGGTTGATATGCATCAATACATAAGAGTGCATGTTTGAGGTGCTGGTATATTCAAATATTGCTTTCTCATGGCGCGGCTACCTTCGTTGTAAGCTCGCGCCACTGTTTTCGCGAGGATCCTCTGATTTAACTGAATTTTGCCTTTTAGCCCCCCTGGAAATCCGGGGGAGCGGCCGGTGTCAATGCAATAGGTATGTAAGGATGAGTCAATATCATCTCTTCCACCAACGTTTACGTCTGTTCGATACACACTACTTTCAGCCATTTGATGGAGCATAATTAGAGTATTGGCTCGCATATGCGCGCGGACTAAGTTAATAGTGGCTTGCTTAAGCCCACGTTCTGTGACCAGCCGACTCAAAATTACAACACAACCTGCATAACATGGAAACGTATTCATTAGCCTATATTTATGTTCAAAAATTATATTTATCACTCAAAAAGTAGTCGTTTTAGAGGAAGTTGAAATTTGTCCCAATTTATCTGCCCAACCCTGTATACCAGCGATCACATTTTTATCGATGTAAGTCAGAAATTCTGGGAAGAAAATATCTGTCTATACTCACACTGGACGTGCACTACTGCCTCGTTGTCGGCCCTGCCGACGCCGACGTCGTTGGCCACCTCACAGCGGTACCGCCCCGCGTCCCGGCGGGACGTGTTCTTTATCAGCAGCGACGGGTTGTCCAGGGCGCCTCCCTCGAACTTCTCCTCATCGGTGAGGTCCAGTGCCCGGCCGTCCTTGTACCTGACGAACGGAGAGAGATGGATCGTCAAACTCCGCAGCGGGGTAAAGGGCTGGTGAACGATGTTGGGCTAAATGTGGATGGATGTCTCGAAGTTGAGGTTCATGAACAAGGTCAAATTTGCAGTGTTTGGGCGGAATTAATGATGACATAAAGTCGAATGGTATTTCATAAAAGGTTATCAAAACATGCAAGATATCTGAAAGATAAATCGAAGACATCGATGAATTATGACGTGCCCTGCATATGCACTTATGAAATATCTTATATTTCCCTGAAAACTTGATCCGGGTTCAAATTTAGACACACAGACGCCATCGTTCTGCGCCTGGCTCCAATCAATTGTCATCGACTGCTGTCCTAACGCCGTAAGTAGCTACACCCACGCCTGTCGCGACCCATTTCCGAACAGGGCCGATCCCAGGGCCAATCCCTGGGGTCGGCGGACGGCTGTAGACCCCGTCCGCCGGCCGCTCCGCCCCGAACAGTACCTCACTGAGAGCCGACCGCCGGCTTACCGGCTTTAGCCAGGGGTGTGACGGCATGTCCGTATTCTGAGACGATGTGTTGTTGAGTGTCAGGGTGGGTTTTGGAGGATTTCCGGAGTGTTGGTGACGGAGGAGGTCAAAGTAGACAGGAGATAGAGGATATCGCTGGAGTTTTGTCTTTCGGTGGTTGGGTTTTGTTAGTAAGCTGATAGTTAGTAGAACTGCGATGTATGAGCTGTCAGTGTCTGAAGCCGGGACGTGAAATTAGCTGGGTTTCATTTATTCTTTACACTAGCACCACTTCTCCTACATATGGAGCACGCTCTAGACCCAAAACCTGGTTTACAGCGTATAACAATCACCACAATTTGCGCGTCATGTTCATTTATCGCAGTAACCAATACTCACCAGATGACCGATGAGAGGTTGGTGGGGTTGGCGTCGATCTCGCAGAAGAGCAGGATGTCCATCGACTCATTCACTGTGATGTTGGTGGGCTCAACGCTCACCTGCGGTGCATCTGGAAACGGTTGAAAGCAGTCAATAGTTACCTTTGTAATAAATGCATGGCTAAGAGGTTCTGTTTTTTAGGTAGGCGTATGCAGTAGCGAACTATCACGACAAATTGAGTATAATCAAAACGAAAATTAGCACGCAGAAAATGCTGCTTTTCATCGTCAACCTTCATCACAAGATTGTGTAGGTATTAGACACAAATTAGTGAAATACTCACAGAGCACCTGGACCTTGACGGGCGCCCTGAGAGGCGACTCGTTTTTCCTCTCGATGACGGCGTTGGTGGCCACACAGACGATGTCGTCTCCGTTCACATCGCGGGTGGCCGTGAACGTGTACCGACTGATGGTCTCAGTGGTGCTGTCCGGCTGAGGAGGTCAAAGTTAGAGGTCAGCGGGTCAGGTCAAAAGTCAGGGGGTCAGAGGCTAGAGGTCTGAATTGTCTATTTCGACCTCTAACTTGTTTTAAAGGCTAAGAAAATAAAAAAATACATGACTTGGGGTGCGCCATGGTAAAACACTTATGTTAGATAATTTAAAGAAGTAAAGTAGACGAAGGTAAAAAGACGTAAAGTCGGGCATGCAGTCAGGGTAGTCAACATGGTTCAGAGCATAAGTTGTATGTGACAAATTCATTGCATATATAGTCTAGCATAGCAAAATGCATTTCTTTCACACATACAATGTCACAGAGCTACATTTCTGCGAAAAAGTGGTTACACGTGTCCACAGTTTTGCACAAACTATTCATAAAAGCAGGAAAATTGATTTCCAAAGGGGTAAAAACGGGCTAAGGGTACACTCAGCGATGCACCGGATGCAGGGCACAAGAAAGAAGAAAGGGTACATCAATGGCAAACTCTACGTCATAACCCTACTTAGAAATTCAATCTAGCGCCACAAAACGCTCCCGGAAAAACACTAGCGCCAAGGTACGACTGTCCATCAACACAAGACTTACGTATTCACTGATGATTTCCCCAATCTAAGCGTGTCATACGGAACAGAATAGTTTTGTAACATGTCGGCTAGCATTCTACCCTTTGGCAGATATCTGACGTCGTCGCAACAATAGGCTGTTTATTGAATTGAGCTCCACAGGAATGAGGCCCATGACATTTTTTAGATTAGTTGGCTAAGGTTGCCAGGCTTCCCCATAATATTTGAGATTCTAGTACGAGAAGTAGCTTTTTTAAATCATCACCTAAGCATCCCAACGGTCCGTTCTTTTCCTCCACTATCCGCCCGCTCACCTGGACCCTCTCGGAGTCGGAAGTCTGCTCCAGCAGCCGGTCGGTGCCCCGCAGCCAGGTGATGTTGGCCGCCGGCCGCGCCCCGGTCACCTTACAGGTCAACGTCACCTGGGAGCCCTCGTCGACCGGACTCTCCAGACCCGACAGCTCGATCGTCCGCGGCCGAACTGCCAATGGGCGTGGGAGAGGGGATATTGTAGATCACATGAAACATCATTGGATAGGAAATACGGTTCACGTTTGATATGTTTTGCATGCTTTGCCACGAACGAAAGCGTATGCTAATGTAGTTACGATCGTCTGGTACTTTTTGTGCGATCAGTTTTCAAAAATGGTACGTGACGTATATGTGTATACCCTGAAGATAATCAAGAAAGAAGAGATGAGCTCATACAAAAGCTATTTGTAAATTGCTAATAGCAAGCACTAGAGTCACAAGTACAGGGACATTCTACAAAAATAAGGCATTATCATTAACAATGAACTAGCCGTAAGAGAGCTAAGCCCGCTAACACTGTCAGCCTTATAAGAAATAGCGAGCAAGAAACGCTTTTGCCTACTTCGCTATCAGTTTTGCAAGCGACTCATAAAGAAATAGTTTATCTCTCACACATAAGACGGACATGTTCTAAGAATTTAAGCTTAGAAACAATAAATCTAGCAACAAATCGTAAAAGTTTCAAGACAATAACCAAGTTCCAAGATACCAGACAAATTTATTTTATCTGTCTGGGTAACAGTGCGCTTACGAGAAACGGCCAAATATCTCGGGAGAGCTTCGAGGTGGAAAAAGAACAATGGCTATCACCGATGGAAGCTGTAATCGCTTTGAACATGAGGGTGTGCTATGCTTGTTGTATTGTTGAGTGAGCGTTGACTAGCGACATCCGAAGCGAAGCTATCGGCAATCACATTCTTGAATCACAAGACACCCAAAAATTACCTAAATTCCATCACAAATGAGTGTTGACTAAACTATAAAAATATGTATGTGTATCACACGACATAATTCCAACAGCATTGTAAATGAGAATACAAACAAACCGTCTGTTCACCTTCCGTATTACGGATCTCCAAGCTACATCACACATACTGGTACGTTAGGATATCACCCAAACACACCGTCAATCTGACATTACCAAACGTCACTCACCGTTGAGGTCGAGTGTCACCTTGGTGCTCAGCGGGTACTCGACGGCCTCATTGGAGGCGCGGCACTCAAACACTGACCCGAGGTCATGTCGGGTCAGTGGCACCCGCAGCTCGTTCATGCCGACCCCGGTGCCGTCCTCACTGAGAATGGCGCCGACATCACCTGCGGGTGCGACAACACAGTCAGGGAGGGTAGCTGAAAGGTCCGTGCAGCTATAGTAGCGAACAGGTTTATACGTTGGCTCTGTTTCGAACTGAGCTATATTCGTGCGTTTCGGTTCGTTTAATTTTGAACGTATTTGATGCCTGGTTTACGGTGAAAGTTTCAATTCGTATGGGGCACTGATGAGTCCAGCGTGACGACCAGTGTAGCTGCTGCATTAATAAAAAGAATAACATGTGTCGCGTGACACAACAGACTAACTTCAAAGGCGGAACTGTGTAATCAAGGGGTTGTATGAGAGGCACGGCATTTTGTAGCTAACTGCAGCCCCCGAGTCACCCATACACCGCCGCCGTGGCCGATGCTCCACTCTACTCAGCAAAGTGGACATTGATGACTGTGTTTTACATTGTCCCAATGTCGGTATATTATAATTGGCGGCATAGGCATATCTACTATAGGCATATTTATGCTCGATACCATTTACATATTTTATAAGCATTATTATATGGTAGGATTGTAGCTACACTGAACGCATAAAACATAGTATCACAACGCGGTGTTGCCTCCTACATGCCTTCCCTCAATCGACCATTTGAAGCACTAGGGTCTAGGACAGCAATACACAATTCTATTTTGCCATCAGCAACGCACCAATCAGTCTTTCCGGGGCTAGCAAACGGTTCGCTAGACATTGATGCGAATAAGTGACAAGCATGTTGACATTTTTGTCCTTGACATGGTTGTCTATCTAAAGCCTCGCTGTAAAGTTTCGCACCAGCTTGTCGGCCCAGCGGGCGGCAGCTAGCCCAAGTGCCTGCTCGCATCGCTGGGAGCACCGATTGAGTTCCACTTTTATTGAGGACGGACGCTCGTAAAGCGCTATTCACGGCGTCGGCCACATTGAAAATAACCTCGCATAAGCCGGCCGCATCTTCGTTGAAGATGACGACGAAATTCTGCGGTGCCGCTCCGCACGATCTCAAATATATTCCGTTTTACGATAAGTCCTATTCGGCGTTGGGATTGTGTTTGGGACGCCTGCGGTGATTTGAACACGGAGTCGTTACCCCAGGGAAGTTTCCAGATGTGGCCGTGTATTTGGAAAAGCTTCGTCGAAACGCCCTCCATCTGTGGTTTTAATTCATGGGCAAATTTCCTGAATGTCATTCGGGGACCCGGCATTTTATCATTTTGAATTAATGGCTGGCGGTTCGGCTGATTCCCCAGCATTGCCTAATGATACATTTTCCGCAATTAATATCCCTCACGACTGTCCCCGAGCTCCTGGCGCCGGAAGGATGCGGGACTATCAACCTCCATAGTGTCGCGGCGTTATAAATGGCAGGTTCTGGGGACAATATTTCCTCCCTGACATGACCCACGAGAGACGGAGTGACGTAGAGACACTGCCGCCCGGCCGAAATCAGCCACTTACCGTTAAACGAACGGCCTTCATGGGGTATCATTAATACACAGCAGTGACATTATCTCATATTGCTGCGGCTGCATGTTCAGAATAGTCGCGGCGGCCGACGACCTAATGACAGAGCCTAAACGATTTCTCTATAAAAGCTCAGCTGTCTTGGTATTGTGCAGTGAAATGAGATTGCATTGATGACGCGAGGTCTACAGAACCATGCCTGCTTCTTCGAAATACCAGCCGCTCAATTTAAAGTGATATTTTTGTTGTTGCAATAATTGTCATTCCAGTCCTCCGTAGCGCAAGCCTGCACAAGCTGTATCGACAAGTAACTCCTATTCCACCATGCCCGAGCAGCTGGTCCCAGCTCCAGCGCCCATATCATTTGCCATCGTCACTGCATTCGGCGCCATGCCGTGCGCCCCATGCTGTAAAACCAAACGCCTGTAAGCTGGCGGTGATTGGGTCGTGTCTACGCCGGCCTCGGCGGCTGACGGCCGTATCAGAACGTGACCTCTCGCTGGGCGCGCCCGCTGCCCCCGTCCCTGCCCCCCTGAACCGGTGACCCGCGCGGTGTGCCGACTGACCTCCCATGTTGATGGTGTCGTTCCACCAGGTGACGGAGGCGGCCGGCTTGCCCCCGGCCGACTCGCACTTGAGGTACAGCTGGGCGTCCTCTTCAAATGGACCAATCATAGCGCCGGCCTCCGTGCCGTCCTCCAGCAGAATGCGGATGCTGCTCGGCTTGGCTGTGAATAAAACAGAGTGTGAGTTGGGTCCCAGTCGAATGTCGGATTGAGTCATTATCTTTGAAAAGTAATCTGTGTAGTTTTGGCCAGGCTTCAATATTTCACAGCGCCGAATCGTGCGTGGCAACTGGTTAGTAGCTACTGAGATATATTTCCATGATTGATATAAAGTTTGTTTAGGAAAACCAGCATCAAAACAGAAAGCCAATTTCATTATTCATGTCTTGGTAGTCATTGAAGGCAGAAGCGACGCAACACGGTTCTTTGAGAGGGTCGCCAAAAAGTTGGACCAGCCAAACGAGGCAAAGTTATCACATCGTGAAAAAGTAGCGTCTCGATAGCATGAATAGAGTTGAAATTGTAGTGATATATTGAATGGAAGCAATCACAAGTTTGCACACAATTTGGCGGTATCCTAAATCTTGCCAACACACTTCTTTGCGCTATAAGATGAGCATTGAACATCCGAGGGACCCTTTACCTAACTTTGGAACAAAATTTATTTGATTTTTCACTCATTCAAAGAAGACATAAATAGGTTGCAGACTAGTTATGGGAAAAAGAACACAAGGTCATCGCTTACATAAATTATGAAAATGATTATCAAAACAACAACAAACTTATCTTCTAGCAGTGTTGCAACATTTAAGTAACAAATATGCTCAATTGTTTATGTTTATCTTACCTATAGTGGTGAGGTTGACGAACTGAATGACGGCACAGTTGTCGCGGACCTCCAGATACGTCAGCTCACACTTGTACAAGCTCTCGTCATCCGCCTTCAGGTTACGGATCTCCAACTCCGTCAGGGAAGAGCCTTTCGTGTACTGGAAGTAGCCCCTAAGAAACACATTATTGCATACTCGTTACTTGTAAATCGTGAGCGCATCGAACATCGGTTAATAACTAACTATAACATTACAGGCATAAGGCTGCAACATCAGGTGCATTTAAACATCGCATTGTTAACATTGGAAAAACATTTAGATCAACAGGTCACTCGAGGTATTCTGTCGCTGAATTTTCTATCGTCGGGTGCATAGCTTGTAGCAAAAACATCACTGGTTTTCATTAAACGAAGCGCCGCTCTAACTTCGTGATCAAAGACACAAATCACGGGGAAATAGGACGTCGTATAACCGGAATGTCTCCAGAGGAGAGGACATATTGCTGACTGGAGCAGTTGACGACGGTCGTGAGCGTCAATCAGTCCGGCACTCTGCCCTCCCTGCCCGCTGCACCATTACTACTCAGCAACCGTCGCAGCTATCAATTCGATCCGACACCTGATATCAGTCGCACCCTGTCCAGCCTTGGGGGAACGACGAACGTGTTACCGACCGCCCAACACGCTATCGTCATCACATGACCGCGGACGTCGGTCCAGACGTTGCCTTTAACATCCCACCCTGCCCCGTCCGGCCCTGACCGGCACATCGCTTACGCCAAACGGCACCCCGCGTCCGGCTGACGAGTCGGCGCCCTCATAATGCCGGCCGGAGGGCCTCATCTCAGCTCCAATACGCTGGCGTCAGCAAAAAGGCGGCGTTGCGCATGGCCCCGGCGACGGCGAGCCGAATGGCCGAGCCGGTCGGCAGGTCTGCCGGTCGTGATTTCAGTCACTGAATCGATGCTGACGTCGGACTAATTTGGATTCGTCGGAGACGCGATCCGTTTCGGGGATTTATTTATCGCGTTGGACGTTTGGACGGCGGCTCTGGTGGCGAGCAGTGACGGCTGCTGCGGCGGTAACTCTCGAGTATTGCAGAGAGAGGTTTGGATACCCTGCATAGCATTTCGACCGAGCCGGGCGTTCGGGGCGTTGGCCGCAGCTGGTCGACGAGCAATGATCGCCAGCGATCGGTGCCGGCCGACATGTCATTGATTTTATCGCCGGCCGATGAATGGCTCGGTTATTCGGTATTGATCAGACGCTCAGTGTTCCATCTCACTCCGCCGACGGCAAAGGACGCAAACCTGCGCCTCCAGGCCCGACGATTAAAAAGACGCGAGCTAACAAACATGTCGGAAACATACGCCGAGGACACGGGGGTTCAAACAAAGTTGGCTGTTTACAATTGGAAAGATTCAGCTGCCACAGGGTTATTACTTTTTTCCGGAATTCGGTTGATGAAAAACAGATGGTTACTAGCCTGATCTCGTTTTAAACATGTTCTATGTGGGTTTAGCGCTGTGCTCTGGAGCATGTCCAGGAGCATCGTCGTCTTACCTGTCCTGAAGCATGTTCTCGCTGGTGTCAACTTTGGCCAGCTCGGAATAAACGAAGACTCGTGTGTCTCCGTCGCCGCGGTACCACTGGATGTTGTGAACCTCGCCGCACTTTTCCTCGTCGATCTCACAGGGCAGTCTGATCGAGTCCCCGACCAGCCCTGTGATGTCCACTTGTTTGACACGACCTGGAACACAGAGATGTGCCAACGTCAACACACTGACTTCCTGATAACGAGCAAGAAACCAAACTGTGTGCAGTCAGCTAGAACAGTCTACAAAACAAATGAGATCAGTGCAACATGTCCGTGTTCAATTCAGCGAGGCCAGTATCTGTCTCTGAAAGCAATTTTCCAAGCGCACACAAGGTAACTAGCACAACCTTGTTACAGAACTTGATACGCACTGTGCCCGCTATCCAAGTTCTGCGAAAACACCTTGACAATGAAATAGCCAAACATCGATGTACCGAGACCTGCGAAATAATATAAAATCAAAGCAGAGAATTGCAAGCACACTATAGCATATAAGGATAACACACGTGTGCCTACATTCCCAAAACATGTTCAGCAGCAGCATAAGACCACACACCATCCAGCGCTATCATGGCGCTCAATTCCGCCTGAATGCGGCCTTTCTCAGCTCAGCGCCGGCGAGATGTTCCATCAGTTCTGCCGTTCATCCGCGCTCATGACACCGTGTCAGCCCGGCTGAGCTGTCACAGGAACACGACAAATTTCCGGCCGCGTATCTCACGGTGGCAGGCCCCATTGACCCCGTATCTGACGGTCGGTACTGTGCCGCCGCCGACACTTTACAGACGGCTGCTACCGACCTCTTTGGGTGCGTATTATTTAGGCCAGGGTTCATAATGTCCAGGGCACAATGTGTCCAGTGCTCGAAATGGCCAGTGCCCTGAATTGGCCAGTGTTCACATTGTCCAGGGATTACATGGTCCAAATGTGGCCAACTGGCTGCAGATAGGGTAAATTCAAAGAGGCCAGGGTTCATAATGTCCAGGGCACGATGTGCCCAGTGTTCGAAATGGCCAGGGTTCATAATGTCCAGGGCACGATGTGTCCAGTGTTCGAAATGGCCAGTGTTCATAATGTCCAGGGCACGATATGTCCAGTGTTCAAAATGGCCAGTGCCTTGAATGGGCCAGAGTTCATAGTGTCCAGGGATTACATAGTCCACCCAACCCAACCAAACCTAACCTAACCTAACCTAACCTATCCTATCCTAACCTAACCTAACCTAACCTAACCTAACCTAACCTAACCTACCTAACCTAACCTAACCTAACCTAAGGTAATGATGTTTGCCTACCGGGGATAAGGAAATAGTTTCTCGCATGAATAGATTGCAAGCAATAGTAAATCAAATATTTTTAGGTTAAGTGGTTATGCATCAGGCTTCAGGCCTTCGGCCTGAAGCCAGATACATAACCACTTAACCTAAAAATATTTGATTTACTATTGCCTGTAATCTCTCCTAAGGCATTGCCTTCGGCACTGCACTGCTTCGCATTGAGCTGGTTCCGTGTTTTCTACATAATGACGTCACTTTCAGTGACTATGTAATCCCTGGACACTATGAACTCTGGCCTATTCAAGGCACTGGCCATTTTGAACACTGGACACATCGTGCCCTGGACATTATGAACTCTGGCCATTTTGAACACTGGACACATCGTGCCCTGGACATTATGAACCCTGGCCATTTCGAACACTGGACACATCGTGCCCTGGACATTATGAACCCTGGCCTCTTTGAATATACCCTATCTGCAGCCAGTTGGCCGCATTTGGACCATGCAATCCCTGGACATTATGAACTCTGGCCCATTTAAGGCACTGGCCATTTCGACACTGGGCATAACGTACCCTGGACATTATGAACCCTGGCCAGAATGAATGCTCCCCACCTCTTTACTGACAACTGCTACCGGGAAGACACAGAAGTAACCTGCGGACGACGTGGTCCGCTGGGCGCGTGGGGAGAGATGGAGGTAAAAGGAGAGGTGGGTGCGGGATGAGTTCAGATACAGTGATACGGAGAGAGAGAGAGAGAGAGAGAGAGAGAGAGAGAGAGAGAGAGAGAGAGAGAGAGAGAGAGAGAGAGAGAGAGAGAGAGAGAGAGAGAGAGAGAGAGAGAGAGAGAGAGAGAGTCGCTCCGGTGGCAGCTGTGTGGGCAGAGGTCCGGTGGGCAGTGACGATTTTGGCCAGACCAGTTCCCTGCCTAATGAGTTGGCATGGCCACCAGGCGGCGACCATTGGTGCAGCCAATCACTGGGCACATCGCCGGCACCGAGGGAGGGCTGGGGAGGGACCGGGGAGGAGCTGGGGAGGGCGACCCGCAGGCACTGGGGCGAGAAGGTGGGCCCTCCTCAGCGGAGACGTGATGACACAGCGCACTGCTCTGATGACGGGCCACTATATCCGTGGGCAGCGCAGCGACCCCGGAAAATGGCATCGCTCAGCGGCGCGTCCAGGAACAGCGCAAGACGACGAAACCAGATTGGCGTGAGGACGGGCAGCATGGGCCGCGAGGTCGTCATTTGGCTGCATCAGCAACATTTTCTTCTATGAAAATATAATATTTACTCGTAATCAGAGGAAACAAACATTTCCCTATTATTTCCCATTGTAATTAGAAGTGTGAAGCCACCCCAAATATGACGCCTGGCACCGCCCCTGCCCTCCGGTAGGACCGTGATTGCCTCCGGACGGGTTATGAACGCCCGGTGGACGGGGCAGCACGGCTGGCGATGCGTCGAATTAGCCGAACACGCCATCAGGAGACGGCGGCGGTCGTGGCGCATTCATCTCGGATGTCGGTAATCAGAGGGGGAGCAGATGGGTTAGGGGAGACACAGCTGCGAGCGCGGCATCCAACGGAGGTGTGGTTGTGTATTTTATATCGCATAGGGAAGAATACATCGTGCAAACTGAAGGGTATTGGGTTTCGGGATGTTGTCATTGTGAAAATGCGGTTGATGTGCATGTAAAAAGTCGCCATAAACCTATCATTATTTTGATGAATGAACTAGATAGGTGCAATGTAAAAAAATGCAAATAAAGGACTCATATAAAGGAAAACATGATGTGAAAAGTAGGAAATAATTTCAATAATTACTGTTGTATCCGTCTTTTGTGCATCAATTGGCATCAAAGGGCAACAATGACGTAATGCTAGAAATCTCGATATTGCTAGGAGGATAATCATGATATAATGCTTCCGTTTCCTTTAAATATAAATGGTTGATGGTAAAACCACCATTCGTTACATTTGATTTCTTTCTATCCTTTATCCTCCATAATCACTTCTAGAGAAGCGACTGCGCTCAGTCTCGGCACGGATGGTTGCAGACCGGAGGCAGCGGCGCGCGCGGCTTCCCAATGCTTCAATCGGCCTGCAACATGTGGTCGCCGGCCCTCCCCGAACTGGAGCAACATCAAACAGACCGAGTCACCGGCCTCCTCTTCGGGGTACACGACCCGGGGCGAGACGTCCGCTGAACTCGCCCCGGGAGACAACGCTCGACTGGCCTCCCTTCACAGAGCTGTCTGGTGCAAAATGGCACATCCCGCCGCGGAACACACAGCCGTGATGGTACACTGCACTTTGCAGAGCCCCGGGCGGGTTCAGCCGGCTGGGACGGAGGCGTATCACAGCCGACAGACCCGGCGCCGCGCCGACAGGCGGAAGGGTCGGCCGCAGACATCTGTCCCTGACGGATTGGGCTGCCGGGCACAGTGGCAGTCGCCGGCGTCAGAGGCCGGGCCCGGGGAGGGTCTGGGTGTGTTTGGTGGGCCGCTGAGTGTTTGACGGTGTTGGTTGCAGTTGGCTTGGAGTGCCCGCTGGGGTCTTTGATGTTGGCATAGTGGGGTGCCCGCATAGGATCTGTAACGCGATATGTGATCCGGGTGGACCTCAGAGCGCGGAATGGGACGCTGGTGGTCTCCCAATGATCTGACCCGAGTCGGCTGCCACGCACCCGCAGCTACCAGTTCAGACGGACTCCCCAGGGGTCCCAGAGCACTCCCGGTCACTGGGTGGGTACTCCCGGGCGGCGGGCGGAGCAGCGGCTGGTCGAAATTTATTGGGAAAGGCTTCTCGGGACGGGCGTCAATAATCACTCTCAGTCCATTCAGGGAGCTCTCAAGGTCGCTTTGAATTCAGCTCGCAGCAGACTGGGCTGCCAGTGGAAAATGATTCACTCACTCTGGGGAGTGCTCTGGATCAATTTGAACTCAAACCTTTTCGAGTGCGGAACTACGCGCCTGCACGCGTATTCGGTGTACCTTCACACGTCTCTCCCGAGTATGCTCTGCTCGGAAAGGTGAGTATGTCAATATGGCTGTCAGCTTGGACCCCCGCAGGACGAGGTCCGAGAGCAGTGCTCTCAAAGCAATTCTCAGAACTGGCGACAATATCTCGGCCCATGTTACAGCAATATGTGGCAGCCCGGGCTACTCGAGCACTCCAACACCGCTCTGCCTATCTCCTGCTCTACCTGTCCTGTGGTCGTCTCCATTAGCGGTGTGCTGGATTAACGGAGAGCAGTGCTCGCCTCGTCCTCGACAGTCACTTCATCGCCAACGGAGCCAATCGCTCCGCCGCAGCCGCCGCAGCCGTTAGCAACGTCGCCTTCGTCGTCGGCCGCGACGCAAGCCACCTTTTTCTCGGCGGAGACCCAATCGGACCGCGTTTCAATTTGCGGCGGCGACGGCGGGCTTCGTCGCTCCCCAGCCACAGGGCTAATGATCATCGAGCGAGCTAATTCGCTTCCTTTCAGTGCGGTGCCCGCCCTGTCGTCGAAGGCGACGGCAGAGGTGCGACCGACGCGGGCGACGCGGGGAAAAGTTGCCACCGGCTGTCGGTTGCCGCCGCGCCGGCCGGTCCGCGTAGTGAATGGCCGGCATCAAATGAGCTCTGGGCCAGCCAATCAGCTGAATAGTGTGTTTGGCGGCAGCAAAGGCCGCTGGGTTTCCAGGGCGGCGGCGACGCACCGGTGCGAGCTGCGCCACATACGTCACGGCGCCAATTTAGCGGTCACTGAATGCCCGGCTCTCAGTCGCCCTCACACCTCGCCAACAGAGAACGGCCGCCTGCGCAGAACTTTCTAGGGTAGAGATTGAAAGACTGCTTTCTTAGCTGGAAATCATTGTGATATTAACTGGAG